GTCAGGAATATATGTTTGTATTCCTGACACTATAGTGTTCCTTTAAGCAAATTAAAGAAACATTCTGGTCACCATAACAACTTCATCTAAATTAAAATGCTATGATGCCAGGAAGCCCCTGGGTGCTCTCTTTCCTTTAAGGGGTTAAATTGCTCTCAAATGGTTAACCCCCAAAGGCTTCCTCCAGCTCCAGATCTACAGGTCGCTCAGTGGTATTCAGCTTCTGAAACGGAGTGTCAGGAAGTGCAGATTGACGTCACTCATGGGTGCTGCAGATTGGCTAGAGTGGTCAGTTGACGCTCTAAGCCAATCACTAGTTCCCGGTTAATAAAAATGTTTTACTTTTTTATGAATGGGGAGCTACTGACTGACTTAGAGTGCCAGCTGACCGCTCTAGCCAATCAGCGACACCCCTCCCCAGCGGCACTCTGTGCTTCCTGACACTCAGTAAATAAAAGTGAACACATTAACACTGATATTGTTTTTTTACCTGGGGATATGAGAAGGTCCAAAATTTCCCTGTCTGGTTCCAAAGCCTTATGATGTGGTGTCCAGAATAAAGTGGAGGGTTCACTTCACTTGTTCTTCCTGCTCCAATCTCCTTTTCTTCTCCTTCATTTGACACGGTCTTCTTTTTCTTCTGACACTGTCTTCTCTCCTCCTTTGCTCCTTCTGCTCCTTTACCTTTCTGCTACTTTCTGCTTATTGTTCCCCCCCTTCTGCTCCTTTCTCTTTCTGATCCCTTTCTGCTCCTTCTCCTACTTTACCTTTGTGCTCCTTCTGATTCTTTCTGCTCCTTTACCTTTGTGCTCCTTCTGTCCCTTTCTGCTCTTTGCAGACCCTTCCCTCTCCTTGCAGACCCTTCCTACTCCTTGCTGCCCCTTGCAGACCCTTCCTGCTCCTTGCTGCCATTTTCGGCTCATTGCTGATCCTTTCTGCTCCTTCTACTTTACCTTTGTGCTGCTTTATGTTAATGCTCCTTGCTGTCCCTTCCAGCTCCTTGATGTCCCTTCCTGCTCTTTTCTGTTCCTTCTCCTTTCTGCTCCTTCTCTTACTTCAATCACACGAAAAATAGCAGAACAAGCTGAAATACCCGGGGGGGCAAGTACCCACACTTGCGTTCCCCCCACCCCCCATGGATGCCCATGGTGCAAAACCAAGGAGTTGGCTAAACTCCCAAATATATATATGAGAAAACAGGAGGCTGGCTGCACTCACCTTAACATGTATAAATAGGGTGCTGCTGGGAGCCAATTTATACAATAAAAAAGAAAATCCAGCGCACACCCTTATCCACTAAACAGAAACTTCGGTGCTGACAGATTGTGTTAGTCACAGGTGCTTCATCCCAGTGCCCTATTTAGCCTTGTACTGCAGGGAGCCTCAGATGGAATTTTCCCCCAAGTAAGTAGCTCATGAAGCAGACATTAGGCTGTTAGAGTAGGACCTGCCAAAGCTGTGGTACACTGACATTGTGGCAGGCTTATGCAATGTATGGTCATATAATGTAACTAGACCCCCATTATTTTTTGCCTAGATTAGGTGTTTTTAAGGTGTTTTTTAAAAACGAACAAACTTTCAAAGCACCGAAGTTGCTGTTTAGTGGATAGGTGAGTGCGCTGGATTTTCATTTTTATAATGTCTCTCCTCTTAGCACCAAATGTAAATTTACAGTTAGTGTGTGCTTGCTTCTGAGTACCGTCAAGCTAGAATTAGGAAGAAATCTAAAAATTTAGAATGGTGAATCGCGATTCTAAGCTTGTAATAATCTATTTAAGAATTCAAAGTTAGGGTTAGGAGGAAATATTTAAGAGACAAGAGTTAAGCATAGGAAGCCAGGATATACATTCTATTTAAAAATGCAGAATTATAGAAGGAGCAGGTGCTAGTTTAGGGTAACCTTTGTTGGGCGTGGTAGATTAGGATTAAGGAAAATATAACCTTAACATTAAAATTACCCCTATCCCTAAAATATTAAATTAAGGGTCATTACAACAAAAACCTTAGTAATAATAATTTTAGGGATATGGTAGGGCAGTAATGATACCAAATTAAGATGTTTTAACTACACGCAATATTCTGATGTGTGCTAATAATCAAGGCGTACATACAATTGCACCAAAAAGATGGTCCCTCATTCTGACACCATGCAGTTCTGACAAAAACATTTTCTACGACACCTTCCTCAAATCTATGCCCAATAAAACAAAGAAGCTTAATACTATTTTCATGCAAGTTGCGGCACGTGGAATCTAGAGTAAGCGTTTTCAAAAATTAAAATCCACCCAATGAGACAGTTTCTCTAACCTTCCATTTGCTGATTGTCTTGGGTTATTACCAGAAGTGCCGTCTTTCCTCTCGCAGTAGATTCTGATGCCATTTAGTGCCGTATCATCTCCTATATACTGATATTTCTCTACCTGCATTCAGAGAAGAATACAGGTGAATATTCTAATGTTAGATTAGAGGTTAAAATTAAAAGTGTTAAAAATGTTTAATATTTTTTTCTTTTCTTTACTTGGAACAGCTTTGACTTGAGTTAATAAGACACGTATGTTTTAAGAAGTCCCAGAACAGGCTTCCTAACTCTGTATTATCAACCAAAGATATACTTTTCAGGTAAAATTAGCTAACACCCAGTATAGTATTGTGTAATACATTGTAATAAAATTTGTATAATCATATTTAATCTTCATTCAATAAAACATAGAATTAATACCCTACTATGCTGACCTCTAAAAATGCCATAAATTTAAAAAGTAAAAAATAATATGTATATACTATACCTTTACAGAGATCCCCCTGGCACTGGTATTTTTTGGACAAACGTCTAGGGGTCCCCATATCCCAGCACCTCCACCATTAGTTACAGAAATGGTGATTGATATTTTTTTTGGTCTTTGTTATCCTTTATTAGTTGATTTCCCTTTATATTGCAGACAGACAAAAAAAGAATAAACACGAAAAACACAGGAACCCACATCGTGAATCCACTTATCAGAGAAAACTGGTGATATTGAGATGATGAAGGACAATTAATTCTATTTATATATCTATGTGTAAACATCAGATCACGGGCCACCTTCTCCAGGCATCTACCATTGGTCGTTCTCCAGAGTGTGTCCACTGCCCATTGTCCTCCCCGGTGTATGTGGAATACGTTATATTATTTATATATCTATGTAAACATCAGATCACGGGCCACCTTCTCCAAGCATCTACCATTGGGCATTCTCCAGAGTGTGTCCAATGCCCATTGTCCTCCCCGGTGTATGTGGAATACAATGTTACATTATTTATATATCTATGTAAACATCAGATCACGGGCCACCTTCTCCAAGCATCTACCATTGGCCATTCTCCAGAGTGTGTCCACTGCCCATTGTCCTCCCCGGTGTATGTGGAATACGTTATATTATTTATATATCTATGTAAACATCAGATCACGGGCCACCTTCTCCAAGCATCTACCATTGGCCATTCTCCAGAGTGTGTCCAATGCCCATTGTCCTCCCCGGTGTATGTGGAATGAAATGTTACAATGACCTCAATAATCCTTGTACAAATGCTCAATAATTCTAAACCTACATTCCCATTAATTTAGTGCTACTATGGATACTCCACTTAACCCATTTAAATACTCACTAATTTATCACTTTCATCATTTATATATCAAATAAAAAAAAATAAACAACTCAAATAACAGACACAATACTACAGTTCTTTTAATGAAGTCAGTTTACTGCTAGCAATAATATGGACAGAAGTAGAAAGTATTCTACTGTGCATACAAATAATCAATATTCATTAATGGCATAACAAATACAATCATTGTAAATAATTACAAATGTGTGTGATTTCATAAATAATTTCAACATGGGACATGGTCAACATGAATGCCCCGATCTGGTGTAAAACTACACCTCCCATGATGCTTTGATGTAGTTTTACAATAGCTGGAAGTTACGTCTAAGATTACACAGTCCTAGAGATATGTTCATCAATATGAAGTTCTCTGGTTGGGTCTGAGGATTTGAGTTATACAGACGAGCAAGAGTAGGTTTTCAAGATTCTGAATGTGTAGTTCAGAAAGGTTTGGGAGAGACAGAGAGAGACATAATGTGCAGTGTTTGTGCTTGATACAATATTGTGTTCAGTAATACATAAAGGAATGCTATATTTCACGAATCCCAGATGTTTCTGTCTATGCAAAAAAAAAAACAAGTGTCACAAATAATAGTTTTTTTTATGTTTGCTTTTTTTACGGAAAATTAATAGCCTACTAATAAAAACAGCTTTGCCATGAAAAGCGTTTGGGCCCTAATAAAGTGTTGGAATAAACTGTGATCTTTAATTTTAGTATTTAGTTAGAACACAGGGTGTGACAGATATTAGATTAAATACCGGAACAGGACGACCTTCTTGCATTGTTAAAAGTTATGAATGTGTCACACAGCCCGTACCTCACTTTCCCACCTGGATTGGCTGACAATTTAAATGGGCAATCGCCTTCTGAGATCCGTCCTGCATTATAATGTAAGACATGGGGTTGTTTTTTGTAAACGTATGTACTTGTGATATCAATTTTAGTGTGTGTGTGTGTGTGTGTGTGTATATATATATATATATATAGTAATATGCCTTTATGGTAATATATATATATATATATATATATATATATATATATCTGGGGCTCCTTCTACAAGTGAGCACTATGCAAACATGAGAGGCTGCTGGAGACACCAAATACTAAGGATTCCTTGTGTGTAGCCATAGTGAGGTCACTAAGACCTGCTATAAATGATTCCAGTACATGAGAAAGTTTGGGAGCTATATTATATGTCACCAAGCCTCTCAGATGCCCTTGTGAGGACGTCATTGTCCCCTTAAATATCTTTTATTTATCCTACTCTAGAATGGAATTGAGAGCTTAAAGCAGGGATAGGCAACCTATGACACTCCATATGTTGTGGACTACATCTCCCATAATGCTATTAAAGCCATAATGGGGAAGGTTGCCTGCTCCTGCCCTAGCAAGGATTCCTGTAGTAGGAAGATGCTGAGTGTCTCCTCAGTAAATAATGGCAGCAACACCACAGTAGGGCACCAGTATATATCTACAAGGAGTGCTAATAATGGTTTCAGGAGATCTCTCCAGAATAGTATGACAGAGGTTTCAGGAGATCATGACAGTAGGACCAGGAGATCTATCCAAGAGATCATGACACTGGGTTCAGTAGATATCTCTTAAAGATCATGACAGTTGATCCACGAGATCTGTCCAGACACTGGGTACATGAGACCTCTCCAGAAGATCATAACAGTGCTTCCAGGAGATCTGTCCAGAATGCTATGACAGTGGTTCTAGGAGATCTGTCCAAAATATTTTGACAGTGGTTCCAGGATATCTCTCCAGAATATTATAACAGTGGTTCAAGGACATCTCTCTAGAATATTATAACAGTGGTTCCAGGAGATCTCACCAGAAGATCATGAAAGTAATTCCTGGAAAACTCTCCAGCAGTATGACAGTAGGTATTATCTTTACAACAACATCACAATAAGAATAATATAATAAAAAGACACATTTTCCAAAAGTCCATGTCAGTGCAGAGAACGTCATATGCGGATCAGACAGTTGGTAGTTGCAAGAGTGTTATGATAATTAAGCTTCATTCTGTAAAGCGGAAAAGAGAGAAAGGTTACCTCATTATGAAACCAAGGGTATTCCAAACAGATCAATCATCTTTTATTGTTACAGAAGGGTTATTCACTAAATAGCGAGCTGCGATTACTTGACAAATGAAACAAATTTAGATAAACAATAACTGGATAAATAATCCCACTCTGCTACTTTTGGCCTAAATATTACTAGTCATTGTGTAGTAGATGATTTACTGCAAACCAATAAGTTTGAATGACTATCTGTTCCTGTCCAAATTAAAGATAATAAAGTTGCGTGCACGCAGAAGTAAATTCACACTGAGACACAGGGTTCAGGTTAATGAAAGAACTTCGGAAAAGTTTAATGGCTTCTAACAGAAAATGGGTGCGCAGACCCTTTTAAAGGCATTATTACATCACTGAAGAATTCAAGATAACAGCAAATAGACACTATTGATTGGTCCAGGTGTTAAGTGGTTAGTTAGATACCCTCCTATCAAGAGGTGATGTCATCCTTGACACGGGAGTGGACACAAGATGTAGGCGCCATCATGTTAGCACGAGGTGTTCACTCGATGGGAGGGGTGCTTTGGCAGCCATTTTGAGTAGTTGGTATTGTTAGTTTCAAGGTTCTTTTAGTAAATACACATTTTATTATTCAGCTGACACGTACTTTATTAAGACCAACATGTGGCTCAGTTGCTACAATATTTCATTCAACAGAAACTCATTGTTCTGCTGACGCACATTTCTTCCTGCCAAAGTATTAGCTTAGATAATTTCAAGAATTCTATAATTCTACAACAGTCCCCCCTTAAAATGTTAGATAAACTTTATTTGTTAATACCAGAAGACTTGTTAGCCCAAAGACACAGAAACCCTATGGTCGCTAGCTTGGTGTTATTGCAAAGTGCATGTCTACCCCTATCTGACCCCAACAGGCTGCAGCTCATCCGTCAGTACGGCCCTCGAACACTTCACTCCGTGGGTAACCCGCAGCGGCTAGTCCACCACATCTCCCACAACAGACTAACCCATACAGACGGACGCTGTCCCTGCGCTGGTTCCCTTCCTAGAACATCTGCACTTTATCAGTATAAGGGAGAGTTTGTAGCGGAATACAGGGTGAGGTGAAATCTTGATCATCGATTGTCAGATGAGTGAAAGTTAGTGTCGCTTGGTCTGTAGTCTTCTGTAAGAATTTTCTAAGGCATGGGAGGACACAACAAACGAGAAGAGCGAGAACAAAAAGGAAAATTAGTAGAGCCATACCAATATGGACTAAAGCTTTCTGCCAACCTGACATCCAACCAAACCACCTTTCCCAGGGATCTGTTACCCCAGAATTCCTCTTCAACTCTTCTGAGAGTTTCTCTAACTTCGCTATGGCCATAGTGACTTTACCATTTGGACCTGTGTTTTCTGGGATATAAGTGCAACAAGTCATGGTGTCAGGTAGTATTTTACATACACCCCCCTTTTCAGCTAGAATCATGTCTAAGGCCATTCTGTTCTGGAAGGTCATCTGGGATGTGGCCTGCAACTGCTCGGCCAGGCCCTGGAGGGCATCCCTGGTGTAGTTGACGAAACGCTGTTGGTTGTAGTAAATGTAGTTAATCCAATTAAGGTTTTTGTTGGCAGTGACTATGGTAAAAAGTGATTCAAAACCTACAGCGACTTCATCTCTAGCTTTAAATTCATTAGGCACCCCCCTAGGTACCCCAATGGCATCTATGTAAATGTGGGGGTCAAAACTGCGTTTCGTGCTTCACTCTGGCTGGTGTATGTGGAGGGTCGTATGTGTCATGATGATTATCAGAAATAATATGAATGGGCATGATAACTTTGTCCAGGGTACACTCACCCCACCACTCAGTTTCCAGCCTAGATCTTAACTGTAGATCCCCACATAACCAGTAAATATCCCCCAATGACCTGGTATGGTGTTGCAACAGGCGTATAGGAACAGTTCTGTAGGTGGCACAATAGCCATTGGAAAAGTTACCCAGGAATTTACCAATCCTGTCATAGTTAGCATAACAAGTGTAATTACCCTTGTAAATCGTGATTCCATCTGGGGGTTTGACATTTCCAATTAAGAGGGGGTACTCTGCCATCCATGCTTTGCAGAGGGATCTGTTGAAATTATAGCGGTAGGCAAAAAGACTGAGGAAGCAATTCTCTGTCTCCAAAGGGAGAGTTAGAGGAACGGTGCCAAGATGAGATCGAGCACCACCGCACACATAGCATGCGGTTTTGTTATGTTTATTAGCATTATATTTCATCCACTCTAACCATAGATTGATATCATTGTAACCAGTTTCAGTGGCCATGGTGTCTTCGAAGGTGGGGTTAGCAATGGCCATCATGTCCTTAAAAGACTGGATATGTGGTTTCAGTGGATTCGGGACCATATGAACAGCACCTTGCCACTCTGGAGAGTAGCACATATCTTTAAGATAGAAATGACCTAATTTGTTATAGGAACCACTTTTCCAATACATTCCCATTACATATTGGTCAGCATCCTTTGGACCAGGGTGCTCAATGTTTAACATTAATTTTATGGGCAGACCTCCTCCAGGCTTTCTTAAAGTCATTCTTTGAAGGAGGGATCTACCATGGTCATCTACTTTAGATAAGGCACTTTTGGGTTTGTAACCCCAGGCAGGCCCAGTATTCCATCCTGCAGCCCCCCAATGGTCACAGTTGTGTCCCCATTGCTTGTCAACTACACAAACATAGGGGTCCTTTGCGTGTGGTATATCTTTGTAAATGGTTTGAATCTGTGACTTGGGAAATGGGCAATCTACTATGTCACAGTAATCAAAGGTGAATGTAGCTACGCGGGTGCATGATGAATTATACCAGAATGTGTACCCACTAGCATCTTTGGTAATGGCCACTTGTTGGGCCTCAAGGAAACTAATCAAAGGGATGATGTACCAGAGGTACATGGTTGTGAGGAGTCTGCTTCCTCTGGGACCGGAACCTTTTTGCAATGGAAGGCGTGGATCCAGTTGCTTTTCCCAGCCAACTTGACGGAGGTGGAGGTGATCAGTAGAACTTGGAATGGTCCGTCAAATCTTGGTTCCAGGGTGTGTTTCCGCAAAAATTTCTTGACTAGGACCCAATCACCAGGGAGCAGACTGTGGTTGCCCGTATCAGAATCAGGATCTGGAATTGAAGAGAAAACTTGGGATTGGATTTTGTTTAAAGCATTTGCAAGTTCAGTTACACAATCTACTAAAATATCAGTTTGAAGTTGTAGTTGTTGGGGAAAATAGCAACCTAGCCTAGGTGCAGTCCCAAATAGAATCTCATATGGGGACATTGAGGGTTTTCCTCTGGGTGTGTGTCTGACACTGAATAGAGCTATTGACAAGCTTTCTGGCCAGGGCATCTTTGTTTCTTGTGACATTTTTAACATTCTAGCTTTTAGGGTACTATTCATACTGTTGGGGATAAAATCAGCCTGAGCCCTTTGTGGATGATGGATATTTGCCAACTCATACAGAGCTCTGGAAATTGGAAATGAATAGCAGAGACGTGTTCAATAACCAATTCAAATTTTAATTGATACATCAGTTATACTTATACCCCATTTTCATGTCGGTGGGGGTCATTGAGCATTGTGACATAGTTTATTTTTCACAAGTTGTTTTCAGTTATAATTCGATGTTACATAATGTATGCATATTGGATAAAACCCAGATGATTACAAATACAGAAATCTTGGACAATACACAAGGACATTCTAGAATCCATGTCATGTCATGTCATGTCATGTCAATATCTTTTTCCAGGAACATAACAAAATCATGTTTCAATAACATTTCTGAGAATTGGAGATACAATTCCAAATTTATTCTTGATTCAAATTAACCCTTACATGAACAGTTAGAATATAGAGCAAAATGGATATTCATATCCTACAATTCCTCTCTTTAGATCATATCGTGATCTACCTTATGGAATATCCATGGGAGGCCTGCGGCAGAGAAACGAAAGGAGGTATATTCAGACGTGCTAATCACGTCTGCGGGACTTTCCTTATTTCTTCACCTCGATTTCCCCCATTTGCTCTATGCCGTAGGTTTTCCCTTTAAGAGGAGATCGAGCTGTCGATTTTCAGCTTCTGTAATCATCTGTTGTACACATCTTTTAAGTGTACAAGTTAAATATTTCAAACAGCTGACATCTTAACCAATTTTAAACAGACTGCACATCATGTTATCTGCAACTTGAGCCTTGGATCAAAACAGGCAAAGTGTATTATTCCCAACAACGAGAATATTATTATTATAATTCACAATGTAAACACATATAATCAAAAATGGGAATAAAATCTATTTCCCCTCTTTGGACCAGTCCACCCAGTGAACTTGGGCCAGGTCAAAAAACCCAGTGGCAAAAACTCATAATTGAGGAAAAAAGCACATCTGGGTAAATTCTAAGTGAGGGCCATGACTGTGTAGACATGTCATCCCCTCACGTTGACAGCATTAGTGACTTATAAAACCTGCACTTGTAAGTAAATAGCTCAGGTATCGGGATTGGGAAACACTTCTTGATTAGTTTCAAAAGAACCATTTACATATTAAATCATGAGATCATTTCTAATCAGTTTGCAATTCTAGCTAATAATCCCAATCATGACCTTGCGTCCTATGCCTCCTAATCAA